ACTAATGAAATAATAACAGTGCCTTATGAATGATATATAGTGACAGTAAAATAGGATGTATTCCTCAATAAGGGACTTTTCTAGACACAGTGTGACAAACAAGAAGAAAACCCAAGAGACACAATGGTGGAATGCAGAGGGATTCAAATGTTTTCTTTCTCTAATGGTACTTATACTTCAATTATCAGGTAAGGATACGTGTACATTTACAAGTAGAATTTCAAACTTTTACTTGGTTGAAAGAGATGTAAACACAAAACGTTTGCCCAAGTTTAGAGTGTCTTCGTCGTCAGGGAGAAACCACTTTCAGTTTAATTAAGTGAAAAAGATTGAATTAAAAAAGATGCTATATAGTATAAGTATCATTCTATTTAGTCATTCAGGCCCCCCTCAAATAATTTCTTTGTCAAAATGAGAAATACTATTTAAAAACTGATGTATCTAAAATTATTATAATCATAATCATATTATATAATCATTTTTGCATTTGTTTCTGATTTTACCAGCAACAGAAGTTCAGGACTCTGTCCTGTCAGAGTTGGAGATAAAGTCACTTTGTCTTGTGGAAATGTGAAAGATGATCAGGAAAAATGTAACAGCACTACCTGGCTCTTCACTACATCTAGAAAGCCGAGCGCAGTGACACTGTTTGAAAATGGGAAGATGCATGCAAATGCTAAGAATAAATCACCCAGACTAAGTGTGACTGTAAACTGTTCGCTGGTGATAAATGTCACAGCTGAGGATGTTGGTGATTACACCTGCAGAATGTTCAACAAATCAGGAAAACAAGAAGGTCCAGGTTTTATAAACAGACTCTTTCCTGTTAACAGTGGGTATTTCCATCATAATACTATCAGCTCAAAACGGCTCAGTTCAACATCATATTACTGTAAAAATCATAGTTACTCTGAGGACTGCCGAAAATTCTCCTTATTTTTTCTTTTCTTTTATCATCAGTGAGCGAACGTAAAGAAGGCAACATGGTGACCTTGACCTGCTCTGTGTCAATGTATGAGCAATGCTGATACACAGTCAAGTGGCTGTATGAAGATAAATCCACTGATAATAATAACAAAGGCTTGAAGACGTCACAGTCTGCCTGCTCAGCCAGTGTGACATTTACAACTTCTCATAATGTTTACACATCAAAGAATTATGATTTATTCAAGTGGCAAGTGAAAAATGATGATGATGACAATATGAAGGTATGGAAAGAGGTGAGAATTTGGTATTTGTTTTGATTAGTTTCTATTTTATTTTTTTAATTTTAAAAATATTGCACTTCCTGTACTCCTGTGTACTGATGACTCTCTATATAAGTTAATGTTGTCATTGGGCTCTTCGTCTCAATTTGCAATCCAAGTAATTTCCATATAGAATAATCAGTATTGATATAAACTCTGCTACTGTCCTTCCAAGAAATTCAAATGTTGTATTTTGACACATTTCCTATTAAAAGTTAATGTTCTAAGTCACATCTAAGTCTTACATCATGTTGTTGCTCAACAAGAATCTCTTTACTCACAAGAAGATGATTAAACATTTCTTTGCCTGGAAAAAAACAAAACAAAACAAAAATTTACTTTATTTTTAGCCAATGAACAGAACAGAAACTGGAAATTTTTTAAAATGTTGTCCTTTTCTTCAGAATGGGGGAAGGTGATTGCTGCATTAGTGGGTGTAGTAGCACTCCTAATATGTGTAGTTGTTGTTATATCCATCCAGTGGAAGAAATTTAAAGGTAGGAGCCTCCACAAGATGAACCTTTTATAAATAAAAATATCTAAGCAGCCTGAAGACTCTAAGTGGGTTTCTCTTTTTCTGAAAACAGATTGCAGACCAGGGAAATCACTGTAAGTTTTGCTTTAATTATGAGCTTGTTATAGGCTATGACTGTTAAAGACTTTTTGTATCCCAATCTGGGATAAACTAAGCACATGCGAACTTAAAATTGTATTTTATCTTTTAATGTTTTATTAAATTAAAATAAATTCAGCAATTTTTTTCTTTTAATTTATGATGATATCCAATTTCTTTTTTAAAAAGAGAAGAAGAAAACAGAAAAATGACCTTATACTGACTCAGTCTGCTTTCACAACTATTCAGCTCTCTGTAATAGTAAAGAGTTATGCACTGCTCCCTCTCTGAAGTGTGGAATCAACCCAGCAGTCATTATGTTGTTGTCTCTGTGTCGGCTGATCCTGAAGATGCTGTTCGCTATGCCTCCATCACCTTCACCAAGAGTACTACTAAAACTTTGGTAAGCTTATTGTTATCAACTACATGGACCGGGCAGATTTATGTACACTTTGCTTTTACATAGCTGGGCCCCCTTTTTGCCTTAATTCTTAGTGGCAAACATTCCTCATGAATTTTGATTCATATTTAAATGATAGCATCACACTGTTGCTGCAGAGCCTTGATGACATCTCCCACTCCACCACATCCCAAAGGTGTACAGAAGGTACACTGAACCCAATTTCATATTCTAGAAACAAATGTGAGGTGATTTGAGCTGCATAACATGGCACATTATCCTGATGGAAGCAACTATCAAAAGATGGGTACACTAAAAAAAGAAAAAAGACATGGTCAGCAACAACAGTTTGGCTTTGGCATAAAGAAAAGGCCCAAGATCACAATATCTCTCACATCAATATACCCACCACCAGACTGAAACAAAATGGTGCCATGCTTTTGTTTAAACCAAAGTCCCTGCTTTTCAAATTTAAAAGCAGAAATTAAGACTCTTTAGAACAGGCAACATTTTTCCAATTTTCTATTTTCGTTTTGGTTACTTTGGTTTTAATAATTGGTTATTTGAGTTACTGATGCCTTTCCATCAGCTAGACGCAAACTGGCCTTTGACCTCTCACTACTGCAGCGAGAGAACGTGACACTGATGACAGCTGGGGAAACGTAATCATAAATTCTTGTTGTCAAGCGGTTACAAGAAATCCTTAGAAATTTAAGGCTGGCCCTATTTTTTTTTTTTTTTTTGACAGATTCAGTGGGACAGGTGTATGAAATGGTTCCACCAGCTCTGTGTGGAAAGCCCACATGTACAAAAAAGCTTTTCATTGTTTGCCTTGTAAAACGTTTTCACAGTTACAGCAAGTTTGCCATGGGTACACTGAAGAGTAATTGTGTATAATCTGCCTTATAATGTTAACAATTTTATTTCTTTAATTTTGTCTGCATTTCAAGTTGAGTCTTTAACAGTTTTACGTTCACGCTGCTAGCCCAAAAAAACTGAGTAATCTTGATCCTTCAGCTTTACAATTTCATTGAAATGTATAAAGTTTTGTAGGAAGTAGACTGTGGAAGAAAAGAGCTATGGTAGAACGCTCAGTTGTAATCCATACACTGAACCATAACGTAACAACAAACAAAAGTAAAACATCACTATTTCCACGTCTCGCAGGTTGGAATGAAGGCGGAGTCAACTGGATCCGCTGTCCCTCCCTGCCCGGTGCGCGCTCCTGACGCAGGGGAATCAAATTGTGTCGGGGGTCGGAGATAACGACCTTGGTGCACCCTGCTGCCCTGCGGAGAAACATCTCCTCAGGGTCGTGGCTGCCCTCATGGCGTTATGGGTCGCGTGGTCAAATGGTCCTCTGGCAGCATTACTACTACCTCCCTCGCTGCGTCAACCAGCTGGTCCCTTCACAAACATCAGCAAAAAGGCGGGCAAGTTGAGACACACTAACAGAGGCAGCAGGCGCAGTGCCCACTCCTCCTCAGGCCGCCTTTGCCGTGGCCCGAAAGACTCTCAGGAATGCCCGGGAGTCATCTCCCTCCCCAATTTCTCCTAAGGACTGTAAAAATTCAAACAGGCTACTTATGGACGGCTGTTTACATAAGGCGTGAGCAAAGGAGGGGCTGACGTTACTGAAAATACACGGTGTCCTGACTATTAGGTCAAATCTGTAAATCACATCTGTCTGACTTTAAACTGTTCAAATTCAGCAGCTGAACTGATGTAGTGAAGATTTGTTTTTTACTTACTGTAACTTTAAATACTGAGGTAAACAAGAAAATGGAAAACAGGTGTACAACAGCTCACCTGCTGCACCTACTAAAAACCCCAAGGGAAAAGGCGCCAGAGAGCGAAGGAGAGCAGAAACTTCAAAGATAAAGGAGGGTGGAGAGGGAAGGGCACGGGCTGTTAAGTATTTACTTTGCCTTTATTTTTATCTGTTTAAATATAGAGTGATATACTTTCATTGTGAATAGAGTTAATTAATACTCGTCTCACACCACGCTCGCTGAGGCGTTTTATGATATCACTACATCTATTTTATTTTACATATATCATCTCTAAACACTGTAATATCTCCCCCAAGTCAGATTTGGAAAATGGATTTCTCGTTTACAGAATCTTTTGTCTATTCTGTTCCTGTGTGTGAATAAATAACAGCGAACCTTTGACCGACTAATAGATGAAGAAGCCTAAATAAATCACAGGGGGTGATCATCAATACTAAGTCGGATTCAGAGAAACGAGTGACTTTTTTGAGTCTCTTTTTTTTTTCTTTTTTTTTTGGCCTGTCCCGTTTGGCTCTTTTGCCATCAGAATTATTGTCTAAAGGCAAAGAAAGATGCCCAATGGATTTACTTTACCAAATTGACCATCCCAGCCTTGCCGTAATGGTCCATTTGATTCACCTTTTATTGTTTATTTTATTTTCACTTGCTGAATACGGGACAGACTTGACTGGGGGAAAGAAGGGGAGAAAGAAAGAGAAAAAGAAAAACAGCTGAGAAGAGGGACGGGGGAGAAGGGCAAAAAACAAAAACCAACAGAATAAGCAGAGAGAAAGAAAACATCATAGCACCGAAAAAAGACTTTTTTGAGTCTCTGATTTCCTACACTGCCATACCGGGATTTGGAGGGCAGCTAACTTATTTACTCCACCTCTTGTTTGTGTCATTTGAGGGAGGAGTTTACGGTCAGACTATATTACAGCTCTTTCAGTGAAACGAAACTATTCAATGTCACCCCCAGAAAGTGAACACACTCGATCAACTGCTTAGGAAATAACAAACAACAAAAAACAAAAACATGGCTGGCAAACCTGCATTGGAAGGTGAGTACTTTTATCACTTTCACTCTCATTTAAAATTAATTTCTATAATAAATATCTCAGAATTAAAGCACGGGGTGATCTCTATTTTATTAGTTTTCTTTAAGAAAAGAAGTATCCAAGGTTTCAAAAAAAAAAAAAAAGAGAGAGAGAGAGAAAACGGCAAGGTTAAAATTAAATCATAAAAGGTATGTCTCCATTATTTTTAAGACTTCAGTCCAGGCTATTACTTTTCAGTCTAGCTTCACTAATGGCAGTTGCCCTTAACAAAATGGCTGCAGGTTGAATGTCGTTTCCAGAATCTCAGAGTGAATACTCGGTGTGTGGCATGCAAATAGCGCGTGAACTTGGTCTCTGTGTGGCCATTTACTAGAGATTTTAAAAAGAAGAAAAAAAGAAAAAAAAAAACCTTTACTAGAATTTCTGATTTACATGTCTCACGTGGTCCTCTTTTAATTTTTTTTTTAAGTTTGTTATGCCCATTATGTCTTTGGACAGTTAGCCACCACATAACCCACCTGTTTTGAATGCAGTTTGTTAGACCTAGAGCTATCAGCACAGGCACCTTAGAGCCACTGATAGTAGGTTGGACCTGATGGAGGGATGCTCTGGTGTGAGTTGGAGTGTTTCAACTGTGAATTATTTTGAAAGGTTCCAGTAAAGACTAGACTGATTTGTTTGTTACACTGGAATGATATATAAAATAGAGTTTAGGATGCAGCTGAAATGAATATTAAAAACACATAACTTGATCATTTCTGAAGACAACTTTACATCAGTCTTCAGAATATCCACAAACAGCACTAAAATCCTATATCATTATAATATTCTTAATAACAGTTTTAGTTAAAAATGAGCTGCTAAAACAAGTATAACATGTGTTCTAAAAAATAAAACACTGAAATAAACTAAACAACACAAGTTGGACACCACATGAAACAAAATGTGTCTCACGTTTTACTTTGTCTGAGACGTGGGACGTGAAAACGACATGTGGGGACTCACATGTTCTCAGCAGGTTTTTGTATAATAGCTCATTGTTGAATGAAAGGCTTTATTGGCCACATGCAGGTTGCCCCGCAGTGGAATAGAACCCCCCCACATGGGAATACAGGTCAGAGATCGGCAGCGTTACAGAAAAACACTGAAAAAGTACACAACAGTAGTAATACGATGGCACTAGTCCAATTTGGCGGCCAACCAAACCGGTTTGACCGGTTTCGTGTGTGTGCACATGCGCGTTCAGGTGTGTTGAGGGTACGCGAGTTCATGTGTGGAAACACCACAGGGTGTCAGAGGGGTTATATGAGTTTATGTGTTTTTAACTGGGTTTTAATTTAATCAAACCATAGGGTTTTTTAATTAAACTATTTTTATCACTTAGGTGTATCGCAACATTCAGTTATGCAGACATATATGTTCTTAAAAGCAATTCTTTGTTTTGCGGGTGGAGTAGAAGCTGTTTTGGTTCACAGTGCACCTTAACAAAGAGGGGATGCTTTTTATTTACATCTAGTCAAAAGTGTTGGTAATAGTATTTTAGTCACACTAATTTTGTGATTCTGACAATATCTCAGCTTGCAGTGATGCAAGCATTTTATTTTAAAAACGGCACAAATGGGAATTTCTTCTGAATGGGTAATGTCAGCATGTTCACAAGCGTTTCATTTAATCAAACCCCTAGTTTTAATTTAACTAGTTTTTACGCATCTTTCCAGGGTTGATGCGATCATTTTATTTAAAAATCGGGATTTCGGAATGTTGAACTAAGAGGGAGACAATTCAGACATTCAGAAGAAATTCCCATTTGTGCCGTTTTTAAAATAAAATGCTTGCATCACTGCAAGCTGAGATATTGTCAGAATCACAAAATTAGTGTGACTAAAATACTATTACCAACACTTTTGACTAGATGTAAATAAAAAGCATCCCCTCTTTGTTAAGGTGCACTGTGAACCAAAACAGCTTCTACTCCACCCGCAAAACAAAGAATTGCTTTTAAGAACATATATGTCTGCATAACTGAATGTTGCGATACACCTAAGTGATAAAAATAGTTTAATTAAAAAACCCTATGGTTTGATTAAATTAAAACCCAGTTAAAAACACATAAACTCATATAACCCCTCTGACACCCTGTGGTGTTTCCACACATGAACTCGCGTACCCTCAACACACCTGAACGCGCATGTGCACACACACGAAACCGGTCAAACCGGTTTGGTTGGCCGCCAAATTGGACTAGTGCCATCGTATTACTACTCACAACAATGGGAAAGTAGAAGAGGAAAAAGAGACCTCTACTCATGCTGGGCACCAATGGGAGGACAGCATGAGAACAGGAAACAAAAAAACTCCTCTGCACAGAGAGCACATAAATGTCCACAGTACAACATTGGAGCACGTGATAAGCCACAAGGTTGGGTAGGGGGTGAGGAGTAATCCGAAGGAAACACAGCAGTCATCCTGCACAGCGTTACCATTCCAGCGCGGCACACAGACCCACCGTCTTCCCCCACAGGAAACAAGCATCAAAGGCGTTTGGAAAGGGAGGGGGATGAGTGCGTGCTTATCAGTGTAAATGTATGTGTGTGCGTGTCCAGAGTTCAGCTGAGACAGTGTCCTCCGCCCTATCAGGCTAAGTATACAGTCTGCCAGCCAACCCAGGTGGCCTTGCATGGAATGGGAAGAATAGTCAACTCACAGTCGTTATCTGGGAGTTTTTGTTCGGCTCCAGCCTTGGGGCCGCAGCTGGCGCCGTGGTGTCCGCATGTTGATGTTGTTGATTTTTCTTTTATGCGAGCAGCTCAGGAGAATTTCAAAGCTGTTCTTTAACACTCCGACACTGGTCTCTCAATCTCCCGTTGGAGAACCGCGAGCCTCCCCATAATGGTATCAAACTTCCGTTCCGTGGTGTTGTCATGCTTTTGATTCTGAGACCCCACAACTGCAGTGAGCCGTTCTGCGATGTGATCCAACTTTCGCTCAAGGGTCTAATTTTGAGCAGGCCTCTCTTTGATGTATCCCAATATATGCTCAATGGTGTTATTTTGAGTCTTCACGGCAGCTGTAAGCATCTCCAAGGTGTTAACCATGCTGCATTTGTTGTGAGAAGTCGCGCCTCGTCCCATCGTTTCAATTCCAGCAGGCAGCCTTGGGGGGGATTTGAACAGTCGATTCTGCTCTCTTAATTCTCCGATAAGCCAGGGCCAAGCCAGCTCCGATCAGATATCTTCAGCGTCCTCGATCGACAGTCCCGCCAGGCACACGATCCTCCATTTCTGCCACCCGTCCATCGTGTATCTGGCAGGGAAAGTCCCTCCAGGGCTCTCCCGTGCCCAGACTTCTTGTTGAGAAAAGGGTGTCAATAGCATTCAGAGACCAGTTGATCAAATCCATAATTCTCTTTTAGGTTTTAGAGAACGACAGTGAGAAACTGTTCCAGAGAAAGTATTACACACGAGACAGGACAAGGACACAAGAGGCTAAGCAGGGAAGATAAGGGGAAGGAGGAGAGGAGAAAAGTGCGACCGCCTTCGCCAAGAGCCAAGAGAGAAAAAAAAAGTGCTTTTTGTGGCCTTGTGTAACCACAGGGATAAAAAGAAACCGATCTGGTTTTCATATTCAGTGCACAGCAATCCAGGAAAAAAATCTGTTCTGGGGGGAAAAAAAGAGCAAACAAAGTCATGTCACTCTGAGCTCTACCCAAAATATTTGAATCTTTGTGTCTAATTCAAACCTTACTGTCTGGGTTGGGTTTTTTTTTGCTTGTTTTCTCTTTTTTCTTTCTCAACAGGTGATCCAGGTGATTGACATATGTATTTTTTGTCTGTTTGTTTTGTTGGTTTTTGTTTTTTGCCCTTTATCACAGTTCCTCTTCAACGCTGTTTTTGTTTCCCTCTTTCTTTTCCCCAGTCAAGTCTGTCCCGTATTTAGCAAGTGAAAATAAAATAAAATAAACAATAAAAGGTGAATCAAATAGACCAATACGGCAAGGCTGGGATGGTCCATTTGGTAAAGTAAATCCGTTGGGCATCTTCCTTTGCTTTTAGACAATAATTCTGATGCCAAAAGAACCAAACGGGACAGGCAAAAAAACCAATAAATAATAATAATTCAAACCTCAGCTTCAGAGCATTTCCTCCATCTGTCTGACACATTTTTTTAGTCTAACTACTGAAACTGCAAAAACTCCTGCTGTTTACATGAACCAGTTATAGTTA